TGCTTGCACTGTTAAGAAGTATACTGATTTAGGGAAGAGATCTATTTTAGAAAATGGTTGAATTGATGTTAAATATGTATGTATGTTATATTCTTTCACATAATGTTTCAAAGTTTGTCTGTTTTATACCACAATTAAGATTCTTAATAACTGTAAAATCAGGTAGCATAAAAGGTTTTTACATAAACAATATCTAGAACCTAATAAATGAGTGTTTGAAAGATAAAGTGTGTGGTGTATTTTCATTATTTGAATGTAAGGGGGAAAATCAGCATGGAGAGGAAAGAGCCCTCTACTTCTGAAGTGGCCCACATTGGAGCTGAATTGGCTCTTTTTAAAGGGGCCGTTTGTTAGAGGGCTGAAATTTCAGGGGCTGTTTTGGCCCCTATAAATTTCAAAGTGGCCCCTGTATTTTTCAAATTTACCCTTCACATGGTCCAATTTGGCCCCTACAACGGGGTCAATTCAGCCCCAAAATTGGTGCCAAAAACAGCCCCATTTCAATGGGGCTGAATTGACCCTAAGCGAGTGCCAAACTGGACTCACTCGTTTTGGCCCCATTTTTGGGGCCAAATCAACTCTTTTAATTTTACAGTGTATCTGAGGAAGTTTGAATTATGAATTACAGGTGACATGAGATTAAAGGAACTTTTATTTCCCGCTTTAAAGAAATAAATATACAGATTAACGCATTCTGTGGCATGAATATATTAAAAGTAAAAAGGAGAACTACTTGAAAAAGAAGCTACGGCTGATATCTTCGGGCGATCGAAGTAACATGTGAAACGAAGAGAAATAACTTCAGAAATTTGACACTTATTGGTATGATACCACGGCCGCAGGTAAAAAATGAGAACCGTTTTGTGTCAAATTCGTTTGATGTGCTGTACTTGTTATAACCCTATGAAGACTTTTTCTAAAATACATCTTTTTCGTACTTCAACATTTAGTCTGAGAGCATTCAGGGACTCCCTAATCTTTTCCTCACGTCATTTTTTATTTGATTCACGACTTTTCACATTTCAAAAAAAGTGTTGAAGGGTTGGTGTTTTATTTCCAACCCTAGATATCAATTATGCATCCCATCTGAAAAAATTGTCATTCTTCACTTGTGAATTCAAGATTATTAGTGAATAATACATGGCGGGCGCAGACATAAGATTTCTCTTCGAGTCTTCAGCTCGATGTCTCACGAGTTCGCGCTAAGCTCGCTGCGCTCACTCGTGAGCCGTCGAGTTGAACACGAGAAGAGAAATTCCTAATCTGCAAGCGACCATGTATTATTTTATTTTCTCAAAGTCTTTACCGGCAAGGAAAGTCGACTTTATTAACGAATGAAAAACATAGGATCCACCATCCAAGAAAAAAGTCGTAAATTGCATCGGCGATAAGGCTAAGGATGAGAAAAAGTGTTGAAACATTACAAAAGGAAGCAGTGGGCGTAAATTTCAATTCACATGATCCTCTTTGTGGCAACCTTTGAACCATACCAAATGAGCTGTCATTCATCTAACTGATCTAAGACATATCTGATTGGTTTCACGCATGTCTTGTTACTCGGGCTTTCCAAGGGAAACGCTCGAGTTGAAATTCCGGCTTGGTTTTTTTTTTCGTTCGGTCGCAAATCGCGGTCAAGTCCTCATCACGCATGCGAAACCTTTTGACTCTGACGCATGGGCGACGTTTTGAGGATTGAGGACACGCCATGGTGTAATGGCAGACGATGAGAAGCTTTCGCGGTGCAAAATCAGCACAGACATTGTGTACAATACGCTCAAAACGCATACAAAATATGTACACATAATTGGTGGTAGACCCATACCAAAAGATGTCGAGCGTTTTTGGAACGGGTCGGTCCGCGAACCTTATGAGAGATGTCTTTATTAGTAAACATCTATGAGAGAACCTTTCATCGAGAAACATGCTATATCAACTTAGCTATCTAATGTTAGTCGAGAGAAGCATAGACGCAAATCTCATCGTGTATGTAGACCTGATCTTGAACTAAGAAGAATGTCAATACGAAGTTTGTAAAGGTTAAGGAACGAGCAAAAAGGTTAGAAAATTTGTCGATGCACGTATTCTCTCGTGTATCCCTGTGTCATCTACATTATGCTGTTATGTTAATGCTAAAAAAAAAAACTATTAAGTAAATGGACTTTTAAGTTTCACTGTCGTGAAAGAATTCGTCAAAGTATCAGAAAGGTAAAATATCATGCCAATCGATATTTAACATCGTTTTCTTGTAACAAACTGATGTGTTCTTGCAAGAATGGGGCTCATGTGGCAAATTATTGCAACTATAAATTAAATAGAGACGTGGAAAAACATCCTGGCTCTTCGATATATGTAGACCCTAACGAAACAACAGTAGCTCCATATAGTCAAGGTAAGTAGTTACTTTTTGGACAGAATACAGGACAGCAATGTGTTGTAACGAGTTTGTGTTCGTTGATTTACAATAACACACAAGGGATCAGCTCTGCAAATGATCTTAAAATATGGATATTGGAAACCAGCTTTATTCAAGTTTGTCATGGTTAGCTAGGTAGGCATGTTTAATGCAGTCAGAATTACCAACAGTATTAAATGTGTTTGATGCTGATTATCAACTGGAATACAGTGAAAGCTACTCTGGTAACGTTCACCAAGAAATTGCCATAGGGGGATATCAGTACTGTAAGTCTTTAGGAAGAGCCTTTGAGTCGCTGATATCTGAAAGCTTCTATTGTAATAGTAATATGGGGGTTCAAAATATTTGATTCTCACGCTTGAGATTTGTTCTTGTTGGATGACAATTTCTACTTTTATACCCTTGAAATATTATCATTATAGAAAGTAGCTATAAAGTCATATGAAAAAATATTAAAACTATTATAATCTTACAAAGTGTTTTTTTCCTCACTGCATATATACAGAATGAAAAAAGTTAGTTAACTTTCATATGCAATTAAAAATTCGCAATTACTGTAATTAGAAGACTGAATTTTTTGTGCAACATCAAATGCTACAAATTAAATAGTCATTTTTCATTCGAGGGCAAATGAAAATAATGGTTTTGATTACAGTGATTTCAATAAGCATGGGTACTGCTGATGAATTACATTAATGTTATTAGATGCTAAATGCCTTGTGACCTTTTTTTTCTTTACATCTCTTAGAGTGATTTCATTCATCCATGAAATAAATAAATGACTGTATAGTTTGTAGTAGTTGATAAAGAAAAAAGAAAACAAAAAAAATTAATAGTACACCAACAACTTTTAATTTCCCTGCTCTTTCAAAGAAAACGAAAATTACTCTAAACACCAACAGTTAAATAGTACTCACCAGGTTTAGTAAAACCACTCTAACAAATAAACCAAAATGTATTAGCTAAAGTATACTTGCCCAGTATCTCCAAATGAAAACAAACAAATCGGGAGGTAATAGTACAAAGTATGCTGAAGTGTATTTCACACATTCATTAGAACCATTCATAGTTCCTTTGGTATTAACCTTTGGTGGTGACTTTTTGTTTTCTTTTGGTTAAGAGTCATCACCCTAACACTTGGGGCTGTTCATAATTAAAAGCTATCTCAGCCTGAAACGTTTGTCAACCAAGAAAAAGAAAACATAGGAAGACAGCCTGTTAGGCAAAAGACTAACCCTGCTACAACCTTAACCCACAAAACAAAATTTAATCAATTCAATACTAAAAAAAAAAAAAAAATTTAAATATTCTATTGTAGTAATGCAACTATCAGCGACCATCCCGGGAGGGTTGACATACGGGGACATATGGGGGAATAGCGCGGGATTTTCTTACTTTTGTCGCCAATTTTTAGCCCGGGACGGAGGCGTTCGACCGCTTTTGCACTTCCAAGGCAAGAAAGGCCCGGGGAATTTGTAACATCGCCGCCATCTTGAAAATAAAAACATAGTATTTGCGAATACTTTTTTCCAGTTAGTCGCCGGCAAAAAGCGACTTGGGATGTTTTTAACTTTAAGCCCTGTATAACCCTATACAGTAAACACAGGCCGAAGTAAGTGTATGTTCGTTGAAACTGTCATTCTATGACTTACAAGGTATAAAGCTGAACGTCGCTGTGTGCAGAAAACAGGTGGACTAGCTATTTTTGCTTACTGTATATATTATTGTTAAACTTTTATTAAAAATTAGGTAGGAATTACGTTACAATTTGGGAGTCCTTTTAAATTATGCTCTTCGGTGCAAATGCCCGGGGGTTCCCCGGGGTCAACTCCCGGGATGGCCGCTGATAAGTGCATAAGCATGCATAGCCAATTATATATGGCACTACCCACCCCCACCCCGCCTCAGAAAAAGGTCTTTATACTACATGACGAATGCCGTTTTCAGCTCGGTATACATATGTGAGAAATTTGCATCTCTGGCATACCAAGAGAAACAGCTACAGGAGAAATCAATAATTGCATAAAAAAACTTAGGTAAACGCAGGCGCAAAAAGCAAAGTTTACTTCCAACAGAAAGCCTGGGTGAACGCAGATATGCGTCTAGTTTGTATGAAATATATTGCGGTGCACCTTCTAAGGGTGCACCGCAATATAATATATAACGGGAAGTTACGAACTCAATATTTACTGATTCGTGACTCGTAAAAAGTGTTCAAAATCTATTTACTACAGCCTTAAGAAATTTGATGGCTGTCTTAGGCAGCTATAGAAACTAGTTGCTCGGGACGACCAATAGGGAAACAAAGGTCGTCTTCATATCGGAGAGGGTTATTTTTTAAAGGACGTAGCTAACAATTACGGAAACCTACCGAATGAGGGATGTAAGACTATGGCTAAAACTTTGTTGCCTCAAGGGATACCAAAATAAAGTGTGGAGGTTACGTCAGTCTAGTCTCTTTCGCAGTATAAAAGACAGGTTAGTAATCTTTTGTCAAATAATTGCCGGAAATACCCTAATATTTCTCAATTATTTGAAACAGGAAAAGACTTCTCAGATGGCTTATTCACCGGAGTGTATAACCTGGATGGTTGTGGGCCTGACTGAATCTGTCACCATATTGGCTCTGAATTCTTTGACAGTGATTGCGTTTTATAGAGACCGTAATCTTCGTAAACGATCAACGTACTTGGTGATAAGCTTAGCAGTTGCAGACATGTTATCCGGGGGAAGTTCTACACTCAACTTCTTCGATGATGTTGGAGAGACATGGAACCTTTGGAGGCACAATAGAGCGTATCAACGTACTTGGTGATAAGCTTGGCAGTTGCAGACATGTTATCCGGGGGAATTTCTGCATTCGACCTCTTCTATGATGTTGGAGAGATGTGTAACCTCTGGGGGCACGATACAGAGTATTGGTATGATATATCAGCGGTCTTACTCCTCTGGTTTCCTGATTGTTCGTTAACAAATATGACTGTTATTTCTTTAGAACGCCTGAATGCAACGTTTTGGCCCTTCAGGCATCGTACGATCAAAAAGTCAGTCTACTGGGTTCTTATTATCGCCGTCTGGTTGACAACACTCCTCTTTTCATATGCACTACTGATGATTTCTCACTATACACATAAAGAGGACTATTTTTACTACGCTCTGGGCTCATTCAACTCAATTTGTCCTTTGGTCATTTGTGTTTCTTACGTTTTTATCTTTGTCAAGCTTCGCTTTGGAGATCAGCACCGACACCACGGCGCGGCAAATAGGGAAAGGAAACTGACCGTGATGTTGTTCAGTGTGACTTCTTTCTCTCTCCTATTGTGCTTGCCTTATGTTGTAACTACCTTTCCGACTTTTGCCTTAAAATTTTTAAGGTCATTGTCTAACACAGCGCTTTTCCGTTTGGCACAAAGTTCAACCATATTGCTTTACGCAAACTGTTTTTTAAATCCGATATTGTACACTATGAGAATGCCAGGTTTTAGGCGAGCTTTAAAGATATTATGTCACCAACAACCTTAGTCACACAGACAGGTTCAGATCATTCCCCTCCGTGAGATTAACCCACAAAATTGATTTGTACTGATGTGGGAGAAATGAACAATAGGAAGCGCTCTACACTCTCCAACCTCTGCATTAAATTAAGAAAAAAGGAGGAAAGGAAAAAAGGAGGAAAGTTAAATTAATCAGATTACGTTATGGATCATTTGTTATTTAACGTACTTCCTTTGTACGTTTCATGTGTAAGATTTCATTTTGTTCATCTGGGTTTGTTTGATTATCTCCATTACTTTAGATTTAGTTCTGCGTCAGTTTAGGTTTAGTTTGCGTGTGTTTAAGTTGAGTTCACGCTTTTTTGTGCGTGATTATGTCAAAGCCATTTTTTACCACTTTGTTTCACTTGGATCGTTTTTATCGCTTTGCCTTGATTCGCTTCATGTTTTGTAGAGTTTCGCTGGATTCCATTTTTGTGAAAGAAATAAATACAAGCACGTTAGACATTGTGATTGCAATTTTAATGTTATTGCGCAATTCAACATTATCGTATTATGTAAATAAACATTCAGGTAGTAGCTTGTCTTTACAAAATAGCTTAACGTTTTACATCCTAAAGTTAATATGCATTTCCTCCATACTGTTCTCGATATATTTCCAATGGCTTTGACAAGGAGAATTTGTTAAACAATCAAGGGTTCTTAAGTTGATGATCATTTCCTTTATTCTCGTGACCTTTTTGTTTTATTCAGGGATGATACTGTAAGGAGAAATTAGATGTAAGTCAATCTTGGAGTTCAAAGGGTTAACAGCTAAAGGATTTGTAGATGAGCCAAGTGACCGCTCTTTATCAATTTGAAAATACACAAAACCAGAAAAAAAAGATGTTATTGGCTAAGTTATTTACTTATCTATCTCAAATAGTAATAGTAATAGGACTGAGTGGAGTCCAATTCGGTTTGCAATTATACGCTGTCGCCAAGAATATGATTACAAACTGAATTGGACTCCATTAGGTCTTATTACCAATTAATCACAAAAATTACAATTTGCAAGAAAAGAATAATAGCTAAGTTATAAAAGAAAGAGAAAATCTGCCTTGAAAGACCGACAAAAGGAATTGGTATTTCTATGGTGATTGAAACCGAGGCTGTAGTCGGTTGATTTAAACTACAACTTTGGATGTGATTGGCTTATTGAACTGTTGCATGACAAACTGTCCGATAACAGCTTGGGAAATAAATTAATGGAAAAATGTAAACTTTTCAAACCAATCACAATCGAGAAATTGTAATTTTTATGACGAAGACTGATACTCTCAGCATAAATGCGTAATTTGAAGTTAATTAAGACTGATGCATGTATGAAATAATAAAAAAAAGGAAATATGCCTTGCATCCTGTGAAAGTCCTGCATTACGAAGTTTTTTTTTAAGTTTAGCCTATGTACATGTAGGCTTGTACAGAGAGGAATTGGGGTCATTGGTGAAAACCATGATATTTTGTCAAAGAAATCAACCAACCGTTGTAATTTTGATTTGTGTTGAAGTTGTTTGGGTGATTAACAAGTTTTTTGTTTTCTATTTTATTATTATTTTTTTTATTCAAGCGCTGATATAAAGTAGCGATGGGTTTGGAAACTCAGCATTTCTACACGACGCAAGAAGATAACAATTTTTCCCTCTTTGCAGCGATAGTTGCGTTCAGCCACTTAGCGTATTTCTTTCCATTTTTTTTACTGCTTTGCTAGTTGTAAGTCTTAGCTGCATGTGGAAAGTGACTAAAAGCATTATCAGGCAACATCGATGGAGGACGGTGGACAAGGAACGGTGGACAGGGAACGGGGAACGGAAAATAAAGAACGGGGAAAGAGGTGCGTGTAACTTGGAACGGAGAAAGGAGAGCCAGAGCAATGGAACGAAAGTAAATTAGCAAAAATCGGGTCGTCGGAAAGGTGAGAGGCTCGGTCACCTCAGTTAAGTCGCGTGGTGTCCTCAGTCACCTTTGGTCGCTCTTTTGTCCTAGTTCTTATTTTTTAATTTTTTCTCAGTCTCTTTTTCCTTTCTTTTTCTTAATTTATTTTTTGCAAAATTTGTTATGCATCCTAAAGTGTATTAGAGAAGTAGATTCCATAATTTCCGAGTGCAGTCCAATACATTTTGATGTTACTTCTAATTTAATGCAGAAAACGCCTGAAGTTACCGCGTCTTAAATTAACACCACAAAAACCATTGAAAGGACAACTAGTTTTTACTGAAAAACACATTTTTATTTTTAACTTGTTTAATGGAACTTTTACTAGTAATGAAAACAGAAAAAACTGAAATTATGTTAAGTCCTAAAAGCAGTGGACGGAATTATGCAAAATTCTTCAGAGCGTCTTTATTGTTCCTTTCAATGAAAAACTGTAGGAAATCAGCCTACTGTAACCTATCTGTCACCTGATTGAATGAATTGGACAAATGTTAAACTACGCTATTGCCCAACTGATCGGAGGGTATGTTAGATACAGGAATTATTAACTCCATTCTGGCCACAGGCGACAGCCAACCTTTAGTCGTCGCGTGTCTCGGACCCGTTGTCCCGACTTTTCTTGTCATATATCATTTAGTAAGAAACAAAGGATAAAAACCTGTCAGTTTCATACATATGAAGAAAGATTATTATTCAGTTTACGTCCACTTTTTCCTAATTGAACAGCTGCGCACAGCTTACAAATGCCAATTTGCCATGCAAACGCCTTGTTCGACTCTGAGTTTTATCGCCGGAAGATTGTAAAGAACCTGGAGACACTTTTAAGAAAGTTAATTGAGATAAGGTAGGCTTTGAAGATTATTTTCTTAAAAAAATTACATCGGCCAAAATCTTGTCTTTGGAAAGGGTAGAGGTTCGGTCACTTCAGTTAAGTCGCGTGGTCTTTTTCGCTTTTTCTTCATTTACTCGCTTTTAATTGCAAAGTTTGTTATGTCTCATCGTGTGCAGTGCAAGCAAGTTGGATGTTATTGTTAATTTATTGCGAGAACGCCTGAAAGCTACAGCGTCTGAAATTAGCACCAAGAAAACATTGAAAGGACAACAAGATGATATTGAAAAACACATTTATAATCTTAACTTGTTTAATACAATTTTACCAGTCATGAAAACAGATAAACTGAAATTAAATTAAATAGAATAGGAAAAATGGTAAGGTTTGAGTCGGTAAACGTGGACTCAGATTTTTTTATTTGTCCAACGCTCGTGACAAGACGAAAAACATCTTTCTCTGTAATAAAACTGTTTACTAAATGAATTTGACAGAATTATGCAAAATTCTTCAGAGCGTCTTTCTTGCTCCTTTCAATGGAAAAATGCATCAAATTACTCGTGTAACTTAACTGTCACCTTTTTTAATGGTTGGACAAATTTTAAACGACGTTATTGCCTAACCGATCGGAGGGTATGTTAGAGACAGAAATTCTTAATTCTTGATTATTATTCATCTCGCAATCGACTATTTCCTTATTAAACAGCTGCACAAAGCTCATAAAATGCCAATTTTTGCTATGCAAATGCCTCATACGATTCTGAGTTTCATCGGCAAAAGATTATAAAGAACCTGAGGGGGCTTTTTAGAAAGTTACTGGAAATGAGGTAGACTTTGAAGAATATTTTCTTAAGAAATTGCTCTTAATCTTTTTCAATGTTTCTAAAACGGAGTTCTCCCTAAATTCTAGTGAGAACTGATGGTAAGGTGAATTTGCGATAGAGGAGGGTTCTCCAATACACCTAAATTGGGTCGATTTATTTGAGGCTGTGTGAATTATAAAAATAACTTAAAACTTCATGTCACTCAGGTGACATGAGGTCAAGGAAATCCAACTTTATTTGTATGTAGATCAACGTCTTCTGTAGCATGAATGTACCAAAAATTTAAAAGGAAAACTACTTCAAAAAGTGGAGTGCTTTAACAGCTACAGCTGATATCTTCAGGCGATCGAAGTAAAATGTGTGATAAAGAAAAATGGGTTCAGACATTCGACACTTGTTTGTATGAAACCATGTCTGAAGGTAAAAAATGAGAACCAGAACCGTTTAGAACTACTAAACAAGCGGAGTAAATTGGCGAGTGAAGCTGATAGCTTGAATGGAAAAGAATTTCATATATAGAGTATCAGTTTTCAAAACTCGCTTAAGTTAAGGAAATAAATGATAACCGTTTTAAATGCTTTTCTTGTTATTAGCCCTTGAAAAGAATTTTAAGGAAACATTTTTCTACGCTCACAATCACCTATGGAGATGCTTATCTGCTGGAAAGCAAGAATGTACGGCCCATTTTTTCTTTCTATTTCAATTTTTGCATTACCTTTCAATTGGTGAAAAAGAGAGGGAAAATGAAAGAAGACTGCTTTAAATACACCTTGCCAAAAAAAATTAGAAAGGCGAACAAAACAAAAAAATTATAGGCAAAAGTAAGAGAAACGCGCCAGTACTGAGAATGTTTAAATATGAAAATGACGACGACCAAGCCTTGGAGAGTTGGAGGAAGCCCATAATGTACAGCTCGATGTCTCATGAGTGAGCGCTGAGCTCACCGCGCTCACTCGTGATACGTCCAGTTGAACACGAGAAGAGAAATCTCTTTACAACAGTCTAAAGGAGTTTGATGGCTTTTTTAGCAGCTATAGGAACTAGTTGCCATGCATGACTTGTAAGGAAACAACGGTCGTTTTCATATCGGAGAGGGGTTTTTTAAAAGGACGTAGCTAACATTTACGAAACGTACCGAAGGTGGGATGTAAGGCCATCAATAAACTTTGTTGTCTCAAGGGATACCAAAATTAAGTGTGGAGGTTACGTCAGTCTAGTCTCTTTCTCAGTATTCTGTTGTCAAATCGTTAACGGAAATACCCTGGTATTTCTCAATTATTTGGAACAGGAAAACACTTCTCGGATGGCTTCTTCACCAGAGTGTATACCCTGGATGATTGTGGGCCTGACTGAATCTGTCACCATAATAGCTCTGAATTCTTTGACAGTGATTGCATTTTG